GACTACCTGGACTACTAGGACTACCTGGATTACCAGAACTACCAGGACTACCTCTACTACCTGGACTACTAGGACTACCTGGATTACCAGAACTACCAGGACTACCTCTACTACCTGGACTACTAGGACTACCTGGATTACCAGAACTACCTGGACTACCTGGACTACCTCTACCTGGATTACCAGAACTACCTGGACTACCTGGACTACCTCTACTACGAGGCTACCTCCACTACCAGGACTACCAGGACTACCTCCACTACCAGGACTACCTCCACTACCAGGACTACCTCCACTACCAGGACTACCAGGACTACCTCTACTACCAGGACTACCTCCACTACCAGGACTACCTCCACTACCAGGACTACCTCCACTACCAGGACTACCTCCACTACCAGCTACCACTACTACCAGGACTACCTCTCTATCATAACCATGCTAACATTCAGGTTATCTGGAGTATAAAATCATTGAAATCAAAGAGAAATTAGTTATCATTCCATTTGAGTTAGCGTCGTTATAAATTCTATGTAATCTATGTACACTTTTAAATTTAGTATTTAGCGTTTCAGCCAATCACAAGCCTCGATCATATAGCTAGGTACTGACCCGGCCGTCGCGGGTGCTTCACCCCCCAATAATTTTCGAAAGTCGGCCCCAGTTGGCAAATTGCTTCGTTACTGTTCGGCAAATTGCGAAATCAGCATTCAGCAAATTGTAAAAGTTAAGAACGAAGGCGATAAATAAAGCGATAAATTTGGGATTTAAAATAATGGTTTGTGTGGCCTTATTTCAAAACAAGTGCATATGACATTAATACCATTTTTTCACCAAAAATCAGCAAAAATTAGACAATTCGAATGATATATATCATTCCTTGATCGGATAAATACTTCCAGAGATAATTTAGATCAAACATGCAAAAAATAGGGTTTTTCAAGACATGGCCGGGAGAAAAGAGGCTGAGTACGAATCAGGTTTGTGATGTCACACCGGGGACGGAAGTGAATCGACTCATGTTGTATTACAATAAATATCTATTGTGTGCAATGAAAATTTGTATACTTTGCGCTTCGAAATGCCTGTTAGATATGTTGTATACGATTGTTCTAACACAACAGATGCTGCAAATCAAATAGCTCTACATCCAATACCATATTATGGGGATTTTCGGCTGCAGTCATTAAGGAGAAGGAAACATTGGATAGATTTGGATAAATTGAAGCGAGCCAGATCGGAGCCGTCTCATCAATTGTCAAAGGCATGTTTGCACAAAGACATGCATTTCAAGGCGGATGACTTTTTGTACACTCTGAATATGTCGGGGCTAAAGAACGCACATTTCCTCGACTAATGAGGGATGAAATTGGGGTTAGCGTTTATCCGACGGTACAAACTGTGGTCGAAAGGCAGGAGGACATATAATAATTCTATTAAAACTGCGAGGGTGATTTTATATACACGCAAGGTGAGACAAAGTCTTACATTGCCTTTGATATACTTGATTTTACATTTGTTGAGAATGATAGTATTGGATATTAAAAATAAAAGGAACTTTATTAAATACATAAGTCTTGTGGTTGTTCAGCGTCGCTCCTGACGAAGGGCCTTTGCTCGAAACGTCGAGAAGATATTTTGATCTTTTATAGGCTTGCGTGTACGTCCACTACAAAGATTCTATTGAATACAATTGTATAATACTACATTAAAATTAGATTAAAAGGCGAATTAGACGCAAGGTTAGACAATGTCTTTTATATTGCATGATATACACTTGGTTTTATTTTTTTTTTTTGAGAATGATTGTATTGGATATTAAAAAAATCCCACAAAAATTTAAAATTCCTTTTTAATAATTATGAGAGATACGCATCTAAGCATATATAGCATCCATAAGCACTTAATATTCAATAGTAAATGCAATAACTCAGTGGACTAGATATGGTGCAGAATGTCTATGAAACCAAAGTTCTTTTAATCTGCTAATATCTGCAGTACTATTTTTACGAGGCCCCAGGACATTGGTAACATTGAAATATCGAATGCAGTTGGGCCAGTTGGCAGTATTGATTATAGATGCACTCAAATATGAACATTGAATATTTTAATACTGGGCTCTGTTTTAACAACAAACTTTTAAAGAACTTTTATCTAATTTTAATGTAGTATAATACAATTGTATTTAATAAAGTTTCTTTTATTTTTAATATCCAATACTATCATACCCAACAAATATAAAACCAAGTATATTAAAGGCAATGTAAGACTTTGTCTCACCTTGCGTGTATATAAAATCACCCACGCAGTTTTAATAGCATTATTATATGTCCTCCTGCCTTTCGACCGCAGTTTGTACCGTCGGATAAACGCTAATCCCAATTTCATATCTCATTCAGTCGAGGAAATGTGCATCCTTTTAGCCTCGACATGAAATGCATGTCTTTGTGCAAACATGCCTTTGACAAATTGACGAGACGGCTCCGATCTGGCTCGCTTCAATTTATCCAAATCTATCCAATGTTTCCTTCTCCTTAATGACTGCAGCCGAAAATCTACATAATATGGTATTGGATGTAGAGCTATTTGATTTGCAGCATCTGTTGTGTTAGAACAATCGTATACAACATGTCTAACAGGCATTTCGAAGCGCAAAGTATACAAATTTCCATTGCACACAATAGATATTTATTGTAATACAACATGAGTCGATTCACTTCCGTCCCCGGTGTGACATCACAAACCTGATTCGTACTCAGCCTCTTTTCTCCCGGCCATGTCTTGAAAAACCCTATTTTTTTGCATGTTTGATCTAAATTATCTCTGGAAGTATTTATCCTATCAAGGAATGATATATATCATTCGAATTGTCTAATTTTTTGCTGATTTTTGGTGAAAAAATGGTATTAATGTCATATGCACTTTAATACTAATTTCTAAATAGTATATTTGATATAGAGAAATTAAAAACATGTCTTGAATAACTACTTCCTCTTTACGAGTTAAGCCCAGGTCAAACAAGGCAGTCACACATTGTTACGGGGGCCATTTCAAGCTCTAGATTATCAAAATAAAGGATAAATAGAATACATGACAATAGAATACATGACAATGTTAGGAAAGCATCAGGAATAGCTAACCAAGGTCGCGTGACTGCCAACTCTCATCATGCACTCTCATCCTCGTTTGATCTGGGCCTTACTGTACTTTTGAATTATTTACCGGGGCGAAACGTCGGTATTACGGCTGGAAATTGAGCTTGTTTTGCCCGACCAAAGGGCGTGGCGAAATCGTTCAGACGAACATTTCAGTTGCTAATTAATATTTCTTTTCTTAAAATTGTTGGCAAGCGGGGGATTCTGGACATAGCATTTTTCACTAACTTTCGAAATAATTTACCGTAATTTGTAAAATGTTCAGTCATATTTTCAATCCGATTGCGAGACACTCAAATATTTTCAAAATTTATCGGAATTGTATGGATATACCAAACGAGGTAGAGACTGGGGGGGGGGGTGTCACACCCCTGATTATTTAACAAAAGCGAGCTTACTTGCTTTCGTAAATCGTCGTGTGTAGTTCGTATCGTATTGAACGAATCACGAAGTCGATTGGCCTCCTTTGATTTCTCATGTATGACCTGTTGAAGTTCATTCACATGACCTTGATACTCCTTAATAAAGCAAAATGTTTTATTTGATAAAAATGCTTTTTAGTGAAAACGAATTCATCACAAAAGACTCGAATAATTTTGGCCATCCAAAAACTGGGAGCCAAATGCGATCAGCTCATAAAATATAAAATTTTTAAAATGCAATACATATTAAATAAATTTTAAAATAATGCAATCGACTTAAAATTAACAGCGTGTTAATTTGCAAAATCTGCATATCTCACACATTGGTATTAATAAGTTCATTGTTGTAAAATATAGATTATAAGCAATAATGAAAGGTTAACAACCCCTGTGGGAGTGCCAAATGGTTTCATGCAAAGACCATGATGCTACCTAATATAAAATTTGATGAAAAAATTTTGTTTAGTTTCGGAAGAAGTTTTGAAGCTAAGCGAAATTGGACTTGCGTGAAGGTGGTATGCATGGTTTTGAATAGTTGCGATATAGGAAACATAAGGAAAGTAGAATTACATTGTAAAGTGGACTACAGTACCTGGTCAATAATAGTACATCGTCTCTGTACTTCGTCCTCCAATGTTTCACTAACATTTTCCTGTTGAGTCACTGCAATATTTTCATGATCATTTAACAAGGCTTCTCGTTCCTGAAGTTCTTTTTCCCATGTCTGGAGTTCACGGGTTTCGTCCTTTTCAAATTTACAAAAGTGTTAATGCTTTGTTTACCCTAAGTAGCCGAGTTATATATTTTAAAAAATAGATGCAAACATATTCCATGATAAAAGGCGATATTAACTATACCTCTAAGAGAGAGTGCGGATATGATGGGAAACACTAAACCGAGAGCGTTGCATAATGTATAAGTCAACCCGCAAAACCACATGCATAAAAGTGAAACAAGGCCGGATTTTGAAGGAAATGCTGGGGGAGGTAGAAAAATATTTAGGGGAGGTGCAGTGGTCTAGCTCACGATCCCCATTGGAAAGTTAGGGCTTAGAACTTAACCCTCTAAAGTTAACTACATGACGGAATACACGTACTGTACATATGTGCATTCGTGAATTATGACTGTACAACTTATCCAATTTTGCCCTCCATTACATTACTACAAAGTTTCTTTCAGACATTGCATAAAAAGGGTACTTCACAAAGAGATGAATGGCTATCAGTTTTTCAATTTTAGAACACCTCATACACCTCAAAATCCGGCCATGTTAAGAAAAGGATAATAACACATCGATTGTCATTTTTGCCCTTTATAGAGATCGTGGTTTGCGCTTGCGAGTTTTGGGCTTTGGAGGACAACGTTAATTGAATTAACTGCGTAACTTACTTTTAATTTTTGACTTATCCCACGCAATTCTTGATAGATTTCTTGCAACTCGGTTTCACTTAATCTTTTCTTTCTCTGTAAGATTGTATATGGAATCCGTTTTAGCATCAGACTTTTTATCGTTATTCTAGCAACCAATAACTGTGCAAAATCAAGCAGCAACGTTTTTCTGTCAAAGTGTGACACTCACAGCTGTTAGTTGTCTCCTCAGGCAACACTGTCGTAAACAGCAAAATTACATAATATTTGGTCGCATTGAGAACCTCGAATTTTTAGACGTTGGCCAACTATCCATAATTAGCCCGTTCTCCACTAGGCGAATTTGTTCGCGCGACGCGAAGCGAAAATCTTGGCAATGTGATTGGTCAGCGAAAACATTCGCCCCGAAAAAGTTAGACCAGTTCCTACTTTTTTACTGTTCACGCGAACAAATTCTTCTAGTGGAGAACGGGCTTAACAATCCGCCAAACAAATTACTACTAACTATCTTTCTCTGTAAAATTTTGCGTAATTCTGCGTGCTGTTTGTCAAAGTTGCCTGCGAAAACCTAGCTACTTTAATCGTACAGTTGATCTTTGGAACTCCATACCGGGCAATATAACATCTATAAACGCAACAAACTCGTTTAAAATTTCACTTCGAAAACATTTAGTTGAATGTTTTACAGAAAGATTCAAAATCCATGACATTTACACTTGGCGTACTATGTACACGAAATGTCACAAACAATCTAATCTTCCGCTAAAATCAGCATATCACCGCTGTTTCTAGCTTTATTTCCTCTTTTTTTCTTCTTTTTGTCCTTGTTTTTTCTTTTTTTATATATAAATGTAATGTGTGCTCTTAGGAAGGCTTGCCTTGTTTGGGGACTTTGGGCCTTGGGCCTGTTGCTTGCCTCTCTTTACTGCGTATATTTATTTAATATTGTAATAGTTACCGCAGTTAAAGTTCAATAAATGACAAATGAAAAACACTATAAAGTGGTGACACCCGCTTCAAATAACGTTTGTCAAACTGCATGATTGAAGTACTTATAAATTGCTGTTCTTGATTTCAACTGGTAACCCCACGCGTCCCTCCTATGGCTACGTTTGATTATATGATGATTTGTTAGTAACTTACTGGTTGATTTCTTCTAGCTTTCAATGGTTCGCCTTCAGAGCCAGTTTTTGGAGAAGAGGAAGCATTTTGCGAAGATTGCTTTTCTTCTTAACAAAGAATAATTTGACATTAATGTTTGCATTGCGACAAACATATTACTTGCGGTGCTAGATTTCACGCGGGAATGTAACGTTGTGGGAATCTGCACCGCTACCAAACTAACCATCTCTTCTCCCGCCCACACTAAACGCCTGCTATGCAGGTTACTGCCAAACAAGCTAACCATCATAGGAAATGTAACCAGGAAAAAAATCTCACCCCAAATTTAAAGGCTGAAAAAAGGGGGAAAGGGATAAAAACCCTAGCTCATTCTCTAACCCATCTTGATACTGTACATGTTTGCAACAACAGTCAGTCTTTTATCAACCAAAATAATACTCCGTTGTGAATGATACTGGCCACAATCATTAAACAATAGTGCAATGTCACTGCACCTTCTGAATGAGTGTCGCTGTCAGAACCGGATTCTGTATCCAGTCTTTGTGTTCGTAATTTGACAGCATCGTATATTTCATTTAATGCTCTTTTGTAATGTTCCTTCTCATTGCTTGTCATCGTTTCACTGGACCAACGTGTTTGCTGTGATGGCGGTTGGATAATTGAAGAATTCCCAATATTTGATTGGGTTGACATGGGATCGATTGCACTTCTGTGGGACCCTTTGTTATACCTAGACACTACAATAGGAAAAGGATGCATGATTATATAGGCCACGGTATAAATAATTTCTATAACAATTATCTATAGCAAAACGTTGCTTCAAAATGTTCCCGCATGTTTTCTTTTCAATCTGATTATAAAATGGTTAATGAGCTACTACACTATATGTTGATTTGTTTTATAGGCATAAAAAAAGCCTTATGTCTTATGAACTAAGCCTCATGTACGGGTAAAGGTAAAACGATAAGTAAAATCCATAATCCAAATATACATGAAATCAAGTATTAAGGAATGTTATATGGAGGCGAGTTACTTGTCACACCGAAATCACAGCAATTGTACATATTTAATAGTTTCCTCGTGTAACTGTTTATACGGCGCAAATTAATCAGTTTGCCATGACCTCAGTGCTATGTGCCTCGTTTCAAATCAACGTGAATATTCAATAGTAGTTCAATATATCTATAACGAATAAGCAATGAAGAACCACCAGATTCAACACATTTTGTTTTTAACTAAAAAGTGCGCAGTTTGATCTACATGTACAGTACATGTAGTCATAGACGGATTTTGTGGGGGGGTGCAGGGGTGCTACCCCCCCAATATTAGCTATAACCCCCCCCAAACAAAATGTCCACCCCTCCAAAAAAAATTTTAACCCCCCCCCCCAATATTCGCATAATAAAAAATCATTAAATAGTCCACTCCAACGTGCAGAGTGTTGATGATACAAAATAAACGTAGGAGTACACTCGAACAGAAAAAGACAGTGCAACACTCTGAAACTAATCGCTCCTCGCTTGCATTCACTGGTTTATTGGAGCAATTGTAAAATTTTGAAACTCTATTATCTCCCCTGAATAGAGTTTGCAGTGCCTTGTCATGCAAATAGCTTGCTTGCAAGGAACGTTTGGAATTTTTACGAACATTATTTTTAGTTTTTAATTCTTTTAGGAAATAGACTTGCCTAGATTTAATCTTTACGCCCCAAATATTATTTACATCGGAGTCGCATCATAAATTGTACTCGGATTCAAACGACACAATGTCAATGACTTTATAAAAGTAAAAGCATATTGTGTATTGGCCAATTGGGTTTACACTTTTACAGGTTCATTTAACTTTAACTCTCTCAAGTCTCAACAGACAATCGGACATGCGAAATGCCCAAATCAATTGATATGACAACTTCAAAAAACGTTTTTCGAAGCCAGAAATCATGATTTTTTTCAAATTTTTCCAAGGATACTTTGTTTTCTGCTCTCTAGAGATCGGAAGAGCGGCTCTAGTGCTCCACCCCTGGAATATAGACCTTACTGGGGTTTGGTGACACTTCGTGTTGCTTCAGTCACCTGCTCACGGCTCACCCCCCTAAAATTTCTGGCACCACCCCAGTAAAAAATATGAAAATCCGTCTATGCATGTAGTAGAGGGTTAATTCTCAAGGAACAAATGGATGCATTACCGTTCTTTGAAATACTGCTTTCACTATTGAAATTTCTATCAGATGTTCCAACGCTGTTTGAATAATATTCAAAATAAGCCTATACAAAATATAGAGATTGAGTTACGTATTTTAATTACAAGAATTAATTCAGCCGCATTTAACAGTGTCTTACAACAAAATTAGCCAACGTTCTTTAATTTGTCCGAACGACCAGATACGTTGAGATAACGGATATTATTATATATTGAAAGTCTATTCTCGTTCGTGATTGGTCAAAACGTGTCAGATAATTCTCGGTATATCTTGAAGCCGTTGCGTTATTTCAGCTGCTGACGCCATCAATGTCGCGTATCCAGAGCCATCGTTGAGTGGCTTTGGGTCAGTGCTTTGGGTACGAGATTGCTGACGCCATCAGCGTGCAGTAATACTTCTTTGGACCGATGTTCGGTCCAAAAAAGTATTACTGCGCGCTGTGGTTGCCAAGCCCCGGCGCGGTACATTGTTTGCTAAAAAGCGCGCGAAAATTTCATGTTTTTAAAAGCGTAAACAAAATGCAACCTCATTCAATAATTGTTTATTAGCCGTGGACCCCAGGAGCTTTAACACTCATCAAATGAATGCAATATTGTTTTGTTGTTAAACACCGGACTGGTCCCATAAGATCGCCTAACAACATTAATTAGGATAATCATAATGGTACATGTAGATGGTAGAAAGGTTGACAACAGGTATATCGACGTGGGCAAAGTTTGAATGAATAACTTTATTTAAAGAGGGTAAAAACACATGACAGCAATATAACTGAAAAACTTGTGTTTAACCTGTGTTTAACCTTAATTCTGTTTCCGTGCCTTTCTTAGCAGTGTGTTTCATGAAGATATTGAAGACAATCACTTATCACTGCCACTGGTTTTCCAGATCGTCTAAATGTTCAAGTATTCTGATTGCCGTACTCTTTCTTCCAAGCTCAATTGCAGCGTTGTGAAATGCTCATCTTGTTTCATTCCCAACCTCTTTGACAGATTCCTTTGTTAGAAATTTGAACTCACGTTCATTTATTTGATAGAAGCTTTAGTTTTCTAATGTCACGCCGTGACATTAGTCAGTTCAAGTCAGTGGCATATCTCCTTTGGGCGCCACCTCGGCAAAAGCGAATTATACCGTCCCTGTTCCTTGGTATCTTGGGTGCAAAGCTCCGGTGTCATTAATTAAAATTTGCCTGTACTTCAGTTTACTAGGCATTCATGAACGAGTAAAAATAATAAACAGAACACTGCATGGTTGTTCAAAGATACAGGCATTCTGCTTTTATATTATCATAGTTATGTTATGGAGTGTTATATTCAACTTTGACATTTTGTTCAGAAATCATCCTCCAATTAATGCACCCTTCAGGAAAGTACTTAGTCTTGGCTATAGACTGAGGCTTGTTTCTGTGTTTCTGATGTTACTGATAACAAAATTATAAACTTATATTCACTGATATAACTGTATTGTTTCGTAAATATGTCACCTGTCACAAGGCAAAGGTTGTAATTAAAATACAATATCTCAAACACGTAAACGACTGAGCACTTTCCGGAAGGGTACGTGTATTCAATGTATATTTAATTGTATGTTCTGAACACAATTAATATATTATTTTATTGTTAAACGGAGCCAATAAAAATCACTGTTCAGAAAAGCTGCCTATTATGTGCGGTTAAAGTGTCCATCTTGCTTTCCATCCTTCAAAATATTTGATACTTGGACATACATCTATGTAATATATGATCTATGTAGGGCTGTTTAGTATGTCAGATACACCGAAAATACTGTCATTGAATTCGATATTTGGTATATATTGGTACAAGTTTTCAGTCATACTGATATTTCTTATCACTTGAATTTCATAATGAAATTTTCAATAAGCTGAATATACATGTCAAACAAATTTCGTGCTAAAAACAATGCTATTGTATGCTCATATGTGCTACAAACAATTATATAATAACTACAGCAAAACACACATTTTGATTGGTCAATACCTGTGCAGGATCAGTCATGAATCATGCATGAAAAATGCACATGTATGCTTATTAAAATGTCAGACAATGAAAACATTATAATGTGTGGAATTATAAAGGGATTATAAAGAACATTAGTGGGGGTTAGCGACTTACAAAGTCTGTCTCTGATTGATTAGTTCACGATTGTTGTGAGAATTCACATTTCATCAATAGCTGTAATAAATTTAACTGAGTGTAAAACAATTACCAAATGGTTTTTCGTGTGCAGGGATAGCATCATTCATGCACTTGAAAGTCTCACAACACCCCGCATGCATGGGTGATACTATCCTGCACAGAAATCTATTTGGTATTATTCCCTTAACCCTTTATTAAAGTAGCAATGCACCCTGATGCACCCTACTTTAGTATTTTACAGTACTCTGTTTAACGCCAAACGATTTTACTCGTCAAGTAGAGAGTGCTGCCACTCAATGGGTTAATCACAACACACTCTTCGGGATGCATGGTAGGAATGTTCGGTATGAGAAACTTCCGGTATCGGTATACCGAAAAAATTATACCGATATTATCTGTATATCGGTTTTCCTTTGATAATTATAAAGGAAAATTCTTTAATGGAAGTTTGAAGGAAATTTTGAGTAATTCTAAAAGGGAAAACGATAATTTCGAAGCTGTTTCGAACATGTTTCGAACGACATGCACGTACTCAGTGTAAAATCTCATTGAAGTGGAAATTCTAAATCTTTGCAGTAGAAAGTTCTTTGAATTGCCATTCAGTAGTAAAATAAAGGTTATGGTTTCGCCATATAGTTGGTAAATTTAACACGGTATACCGAAAAATTCCGGTATATCCGAAATTTCGGTATATCGGTATGGTTGAATATCCCGCGGTATCGATATACCAATATTGATTTAATACCGATATTTTCGGTATATCGGTATACCGAACAGTCCTAATGCATGGCCACTTTGGCTATAGAGTCTTGTTTTCATCATTGATACATTAGGTTTTAATTAAAATCACATACACAAAAACAAGCCTCTATAGCCAGAATAACATACTTTTGGGTGTATTGCCAGCCTTTAAAGTGTTTGTTCTAAACTGTACAGTATATACATCAGACATGATCATAGAAAATGTAATTAGTAGGATGTGTATGATCAGGGGCGTTTTCAACACAAAAAGGGCACTTTTTATCACAAAAAAGGGCACTTTTAGTCCTTTAAAAAAATTTGGGGGGGCACGTGCCCCCCGTGCCCCCCCCGCTTCCTACGCCCCTGTGTATGATTGAAATTGCTTCAAAATTGTTGCAAGCAGTGTTTCAGGCAGCAGACAGGGCACTGGTGGGACTTAATTGCATGTTGCCACTTTTCCAGAACTTGCATTGTTCAGTATATTTATAAAAGAGTTGGTTATCTAAACAGCCAAATAACTGGGAAAACAAGAACTCATGCAAACTGGCAGATAACTAGCACCCTGGAAAACAGATATATCATTATGGCATTCAGCCCTTGAAAACCGTCAAAATTGAGGTTGGCAAAAAAATGCTGACCTAAATCTGACCTAGGTCGGCACGTCTCGGCATTTTTTCAAAAATCTGTTTCCATGTCTACGAGCACCAGTAATCGCGTATTTACGAATCATTGAAATCGGAATATAAAGCATGCCGTTTTGCACGAAAGCGTAAACTACTAACAGTAACACAACAGCTTTTCTTTTGGAGTCTTACCTAAATATACCCATCAATTTTTAAAGCTTACACCAAAGCTAGTGTGTTAAGTTAATCGAACTACAAATTGAAATCTATAATTGCTGACTTTATAACAGCTATCAGCACCAAAAAAGTTTCTTACTTTGGCTGAATTAAGGTCAGCAAAAATTTGCCGGGGAGGTTGATAGGCCGGCATTTAGGGCTGGGCATTTATGTTATTTATCTGAGTCATTGGCTGGTGCAATATATAATTGGACTAATTACCAAATTTGCATGATCTGACTAAAGTAAAGTAAAGTAAAGTAAAGTAAAGTAAAGTAAAGTAAAGTAAAGTAGTTGTCGAGGTAGTTGTTGTGCAGTTGTGTTCCAGACTGCATTCCAAGTGCTTCCCTGGGCAGAGCTGGTGATCATAGCACATACGTCATATAAAATCAACAAGTCCGGGAAACTAACCTTTTCTTTCTAGCTGGGTGGCAGCAGCAAAAACTTTGGTTATGCCTCCATTAACCCCTAGAGTTAGTCTATATCCCCCACCAACCATGCCAATCGTCTGCCACCTACTGTATATGTCTGTTATTTGTTAAAATTCAGGAAACTGATCAGTTTCAAGTGATGAGTGATATAAAACCTTGGGCCTGCATCTCTGGGCCTGCGTTTTACTGGCCAAAAATAACAAAATGGACCCAGAGCCCCCAGCAAGGGCCATTCCATTTAAAATCCACACCACCCCTACAGATGAGGTCAGTAAAATTTTAACCCCTAAGAAAAAAAGATCAAAGTGCCGACACATAACACCCCTCAGAAATTTGTAAATTTTCCCCTTACCCCTCAGAAAAATTGCAGAGATCAAAGGATGCCAACAGGCTTAACCCCTCAGAAGCGACTTTGGGGTCACCCTTCAGAAAAATTCATCCGTGGAAGTGGACATTAAATGGAATGGTCCCAAGCAAGATAAGATTTTATCATACAATATATATAAACCACAACTCATCCCACTTTTTAAGTTATTTTAACACACTGGGTCTCATTTAAAGATGCGGTACAGTCCGTATGTAAACAAAGGCTTTGTTTACATTTCGGTATCCAAAATATTGAATTTTATTCGACAACTATATTTATATTTTCATGATTCTAGAGTATAATAAATTATCAAGAGACAACAATCAAGCTTTGCAAGAACATAAAATGAAATAAAAACCTAAATAAACTGTTTGTAAATAAAAAGAGCGCTCCTTTGTGCACATGCGCAGATCGGACTGTACCGCATCTTTAACAACCGGGCCAGCCACCTTTTCACTTCACACATTCACAAAACATTATTTTGTTCACAGAAACGTTAAGCTTTTGAAGTAGAGTAAACACTTGCTCTATTAACACTTGCTGTTCTCGAGGCTGTACAGCCTGTACAAGTAAAGTGAGTGAGTCGTACTACAAATAGGCCAAAACATAACACTGTGGAACTGTACCTTATCATAGTCCGGTGGTTCATATGTACCATTTCTTGAACGTCGCATTTAGATTGGCAACTTTTTTTGCTGTATAAAGTTGACTTTCGGCCGCCAAAGTCTTTTTAAATATTACAGTATAAAATAGAAACAAACTAGTTCTAAACAACAACAAACATACTGGCCCCCAAAGTAGTCCCCCGCCAGAATGGCAACCAAATTCGAGAATTCCCTGGCAAGAGCACTGAAATTCCTTGGTTTTCCCAAAAATCCCTTGGCACTTCCGTACTGTAATGAGGTTACGGTTGATTTTTCATGTCTGTTAAATATTTACTGTAATTGAACCAGTGTCGCCGTGGCCGGGGGGGGGCATGCCCCCCCCCCCCTATTGTTGAGACCCGTCGGAAAATTGCCAATGTTGTCGGAAATTGTCGGAAAATTGTCAAGGTTGTCGGAAATTGTCAAAGTTGTCGACGGAGATTTAAAATGTTGTCGTCCGGAAAATTTTTTTTGGATTGTCGGAAAAATTTTTCGGTTTGTCGGAAAATTACTGCCCTTGCCCCCCCCCCCGCAAAAAAAAAACATGTTTTCCCACGGCGCCACTGAATTGAACATCAATATAAGAGGTTATCATCAGTGGAGGTTATGCATATAAAAGATGAGGGACGATTAGTAACTAATTGTTCCTCATGTTTTAGCAAGGCATGCAATGAGGTAAATTAGTCATTAATTATGTTTCGCTCGCTACTCTGGTTTAAATAAATGATTACAAAGCCCAGTCGAATTGTAATCAAGACCCAACGTTTCGACACTCCAGTCTAGTGTCTTCATCAGGGGTGATCTAAAATTGCAATCGTGGCTTCTTAAATACCCAAGGGATGACGTCACCTGCCAATGAGATGCATATATTCCTCTGGCAAATAGGCACCGTCATCCCTATTCAAAGCATGATTACTCATATGTATATGCAACGCTTCTAGGCAAAGTCTTTGACCATAGCGATTGTTTGTGGTAATTACTTTAGAGTTTTCCCACGCAATCTCGTGTTTGGTGTAACATACATGTTCGGCTAAAGCTGATTTTCCCTTTCTCGTGGTATTTAAGAAGCGACGATTGCAATTTTAGATCACCCCTGATGAAGACACTAGACTGGAGTGTCGAAACGTTGGGTCTTGATTACAATTCGACTGGGCTTTGTAATCATTTATTTAAACCAGAGTAGCGAGCGAAACATGATTGATATACCTGGTTGACCTGGTTGCAGTGAACGAACAAACTTTAGTCATTAATTATCCCTCGCGAAACAAAGCCAAAGGATTTCGAGGTAGCTATTGCTTGAATAATGCACACTTTTGTCGAAATGTATGAGGAGGAAACCTTTTATGATTAATATTTTCAGGTTTATCGTAAATATTTACTGTATTTACTCGGCAGCAGAAACTCAGTAGATATTATAAATCACGGTAGTAAGATATCAAGATAAAGTTGTTATAATTACAACTGACGTACAAGTTTTACATGAGAATTTCATCCTTCTGTCTAAAATGTCTATATATTTTCAAAATATTCTATATTTTTATATCTATGTTTCATCTTGTGCAACACACAAATAATACATGCTCTTGGTTAATTTGAAATATGGCGATCAACCCCACAATAGTTACTCTTAATTACATATTGAACTGCCGTCTGAACCACTGAACTTAAAATGACCTGGAATGAACTGTACCAATACCTTGATATCAACTAATCAACTTGGGTGTTAGACTGTTCAAAATGAATTGAAGCACCGTACATATGAAGCCATTAATGAAGACAAACTTCATTTCAGGGACTTTTTAAGTTCAAATGTTCCATGTGCGCTATACATCTATATGATTTTATGTACAAAGACAAACCACAGCGTAAACAACGCTTAATCTAGATCTAGTACGCTTACATGACAAACGAAACAGTCGAAATCATCTTTTCAAAACTGCTTGTTTTTATCTCATTTCCTATAGACCCATTACACATGACGTCACAGCACCAGTGCATCTGGAGGACAAATTAGCAATATATGCATAATATAACTTTTGTAAACAAAGCAAATTTTGTAAAAGTTTATAATAATTTTGTATTAAAATGGTTAATTTTTTCTCTGTATGCATGTGGTTGTTGTATCCGAACAGATATTGTTAGGGGGCATCTGGAGGACACTCTAAGGATTTGTGACATCAGTGCAATGGGTCTATTCACAATGGCGGTACATACTGTAGTTCGTTGCGAGCTTAAGCAAGCGATGTTTTTGTCAACACGGACGTAAGATTGCTTAGAAGGGACTGGATTAAAAGCTGTGTTTGTGTCAGTTTGTGGTAATCTTCAACACATCTTCAAAAGTTTTTTGCTTTCTTACAGAGCGCTATGATGTAAAATACCGCCAAAATTAGATAAAAAAACTTCGCTTGCTTAAGCTCACTATATAAGCTCGCCAACGTTAAACCAGAACTGCGAATACAGTATATAGTAACATATCTACAGTGGCATTATACGTCTTGTTAGACGTTAACGTCTTCATCAAAATCGTCGAGAACATGTCTTTCAGCCAACTGAATGAACGACGATGAAGGTCGTGAACGTGGTAAATACACGGAGGAAGGTCGTGATTGAGATGGTGATACCATAGGAGTGACAACTTCGGATGTCAAGGGAGAGAGGGAGGGAGATCTCGTAATTAGCGGAGTAATAGCTGGTGTAAAGTTTGGTGTCATAGGTAGGGAAGAATATGTAGACTCCGGGTCTAGATGTTGATTGTGTAATGACGATACCGATGATAACATACTTGTACGAGCTGAAAGGTCATTCATACCGTTCATAGGAGAACCAAGTTCTTTACTTGGAAAACGTCCAATCTCTGAAAATACTTCTGAAAGTGGTTGATAATGAGGACCTTGGTTCATAGCATAGGAATAGTTATAATGTCCTCTTAGTTCCTCGTGACTTCCAAGGATGGAACTTAACGAGCCTGTGTAATCAGGTCGTCCTTCAAAGTTAAACACTCGAGGGCGATCCTGATCGTCTCCCTCTGCGTCAGCTTCTGCACATTTTGCATACAACAAGTTTCCAACATCTATACCCGCACTAGCCTCCCTGCCACCTTCATCATCAAAGTCATGAAGTGATTCTATACTCTGAAGATGAGCAATAATACGGTCAGTTCTATCTGAACGAACATCAAATGATCTTGCATCGCTATTATCAACATCGCTATTTTCAACATCGCTATTTTCAACATCAGGTTGTATACCAGAATCAGTAACATTTGAATCCATTTGAGTCTTCGTGTGTACGTTACGACGATCTGTTAGTTCATACCCAACATCAGAAGATCCATTTCCAGAACTACCTGATTGTAAGGAACTAGATGCACTAGTTGGAACATGTTCATATCTGTTAATCAGACCTTTTTCATCAACAGAGTTAAAACTTCTTTGCGAAGCCATCGACCTAAGAACCATTTCTTCACTAGGTTTCTTTGTTTCTGTCCCTTCTTTTCGTTTACGTCTCACAAACCAGATAAGGAATGCCGCCAACAAAGCCAGAAATGCTACAATACCAACGGCAATGATGACTGTTTGGATTGCTTCAGATATAGATTGATTGTTATTGTTAGGAATGGATGGTGAAGTTGTATAATTCAAAGACATCTCTGCTGTAACTTTACTGACTTTCGAACCTGGTTGACCACTACTTGCGATGATTGTTACATTGAATGAATCTGGTTGGTTTGAACTTTCTGTGTCCCTTTTATTTCTTTTATGTTCATTATATTCGACAACGTCCATAGTGAGATATATATCACCAGATGAACTATTGATGGCAAACAGAGTGACAGGTGAATCTAGCCCGTATTTTATTTCTCCATCACGACCACTATCCGAGTCTGTTGCGTGAACACGACCGATTGTGTCTCCTTCCTTAGCGTTGCCAGAAACAACAAATTCATAACTTGTGTTCTGGAACGTTGGTTCAAATTCGTCCACACTTATAATAGGAACGATGACAGAGCGAATAGTATATTTAGGAGGTGTGCCATGATCTTGTGCCTTCACAACTAGAGTATAACTTGATTTCTTCTCGTAATCAAAGACTTCCGCACTTGTCAGGTTACCTGTACTTTGCTCGATATTAAATTTTCCCAAACCAGTACCGTTCACGATAGATAAAGAGATAGTCTTGTTTGCTCCAGAATCCGAGTCCGAAGCTTTAATAGTACCAGCGTGAGTTCCATTAAGCGCATTTTCTGCTACACCGAGATCCCTGGGTTTCACGAACACTGGTGCATTATCGTTAACGTCCTTCACATTAATAACCACCGAGATATCTGATGCTCTTGGCGGGATGCCTAATGAAACGAAACAACAGCACGTGGATTATATAAATGGTTTGACAAAGTATAAACCAAACAAGACAAAAATTACAATAACTGCCAGCAATCCTTTCTTGACTTTCTTGTAAACAAATCAAGAAAAATACAAATATCGTTAAAATATTTGTGTTGCATGATTGTAATGGACAAGTTTTAATATATTACTTCCTATTACTATTTTCAAAGGATGTATTACCAGTAGGTTACCCCCCCCCCCCAATCCACCACCGGAAGTAATTCAAGCGAATGTATGTATGACGTCACAGGGGAGTACGTCCGGGCGTTCGTACTTAGTGTACGTCCAAGCGTTCGTACTTAGCTGTATGACGTGTTCAGCAAAGGACAGTTTGTTTTATTTTACTCAAGTTACACATAATATTAAATGTTCCAATAAGAAAGCGGCCAACTTAACTAATTTGTCTTTGTGAGATTGTTCATTTGAAAGTTTATTCTTCCAATACTCCGCATATTTATTACGATGAATCTCCTCTTACGAACAATTTTGTAAGAGCAAGACCCGTGCGTACTCTTTTGTACGAACAGAAACGTACGCGTGCGTACGCTTTATTGTGTTAATCCATGTGTTAATTGATACACGCAGTGAACCTGAACGTGGTAGCTTTGGCAATAGTATTTTCTTCTTAAAATCAGTGCGATTTCGTGTTACCCTCTTTATCTCTCTTTTGAACACGCAGCGGAACATTTTAAAAACTTTGGGAAGGATCACTGTGCTTTTTTCGCCTGCGCTTTAACAAAGGCTCGGATGGTCCGCTTGATCCTGTTTGGCCTTTTCGTATGGCCCGTTTGGCCTTTTCTGCTCGGATTGCCTTTGATATAAGCCAAAAATCAAGAGAAAACAATTCGATTCAGTGTGATGAATACTATAACAAATATAACAGACAAACAAATAGCATTGATAAAATTTATTTTTAAAGTATAGAAGTACAACAATTTATTCGATAGTATCGCTTTCATCGTCTGAATAATGTTGTCGTTTTTCCAAAAAAAGTTTGAAAAGAAACTTTCTCTTTTCGACTGCGGAATATAAAGCTTCTTCCCGGTCGAGGAAATCTACGTCAATCAAATTATCTCTTGTCTGCATGATCTTCTTGTGAATTGGATCTTTTCTCATGTGTGACATCCATAGCAGCCGTTCTACATAAATATCTTCTAGTTCTTTTGTGAGTTTGGGAAGAAGTTCTGAAAACGATTGCCTCTTAGCTTCAACCTCACTAAAACCCTCATTATTAAGGCATTCAACGTTTTCTTGAAATTGATCTAAAAGTTGCAGTTTTGCTTCGTGTATCAACGTTTGCCAGGGGTCGTAGTCCTCTCTATCTTCGCTGGATTCGTGTTCTTCGTCTTCGCTTTCCTCTTTGCTGTCATCTTCCTCGCTGTTCTCATTTTCTTCGCTGTTGCTCTCCTCTTCAATGCTATGTTCTTTCTCGTCATCACTATCGAAAATATCGCCGTTTTGAGATGAGGAAGATGCCCCTTCATCGTAATTATCCATCCTAGCTCTTTTTGATCTGTGCATAATGCCGTAGTCTTGTTCATCTGCGCAAGATGACATGGCGTCACTCAGATAAATACGTCTTTCTTCACTTGATAGACGGTGAATGTCTGCCAAATGATTTGATAATTTGCAAAGGTTTTTTTTTCCGCACAGAAGACAGTCTTTATGCGTTCGCGGCATCGAACGGAATGATTCCTCTTGTCAAACGAGATGCAGGGACATTGCTACGGGACGCCAGGGACTTGCTTGCGGGACGCATTTTAACTTGTCCTTGCGTCCCGTAAGTAAGCCCCGTGCGTCCCTATATGCGGGACGCAGGGACATTGCTACGGGACGCCAGGGACTTGCTTGCGGGACACTTTGTGATGTGTTCCGCATATAGGGACGCACGGGACTTGCTTGCGGGACGCAGGGACACGTTAAAATGCGTCCCGTAAGTAAGTCTCGTGCGTCCCGCATATAGGGACACATCACAAAGTGTCCCGCAAGCAAGTCCCGGGCGTCCCGTAGCAATAGTGAGCTTAAGGAAGTGACGTTTTTGACAACACGGACGTCGACCGGAAGTAAAATTGACGTTTTTTACCAATCACAGCCCTTGACCCAGTCTTCTGACGTTACTCATGCGGTTCGTGTTGTCAAAAACGTCACTCCCGTAGCAATGTCCCTGCGTCCCGCATATAGGGACGCACGGGGCTTACTTACGGGACGCAAGGACACGTTAAAATGCGTCCCGCAAGCAAGTCCCTGGCGTCCCGTAGCAATGTCCCTGCATCTCGTTTGACAAGAGGAATCATTTCGCTCGATGCCGCGAACGCGTAAAGACTGTCTTCTGTGCGGAAAGAAAAACCTTTGCAAATTATCAAATCATTTGGCAGACATTCACCGTCTATCAAGTGAAGAAAGATGTATTTATCTGAGTGACGCCATGTCATCTTGCGCAGATGAACAAGACTACGGCATTATGCACAGATCAAAAAGAGCTAGGATGGATGATTACGATGAAGGGGTATCTTCCTCATCTCAAAACGGCGATATTTTCGATAGTGATGAAGAGAAAGAACATAGCAGTGAAGAGGAGAGCAACAGCGAAGAAAATGAGAACAGCGAGGAAGATGACAGCAAAGAGGAATGCGAAGACGAAGAACACGAATCCAGCGAAGATAGAGAGGACTACGACCCCTGGCAAACGTTGATACACGAAGCAAAACTGCAACTTTTAGATCAATTTCAAGAAAACGTTGAATGCCTTAATAATGAGGGTTTTAGTGAGGTTGAAGCTAAGAGGCAATCGTTTTCAGAACTTCTTCCCAAACTCACAAAAGAACTAGAAGATATTTATGTAGAACGGCTGCTATGGATGTCACACATGAGAAAAGATCCATTTCACAAGAAGATCATGCAGACAAGAGATAATTTGATTGACGTAGATTTCCTCGACCGGGAAGAAGCTTTATATTCCGCAGTCGAAAAGAGAAAGTTTCTAAGTTTCAAACGTCTTTTAGAAAAACGACAACATTATTCAAACGATGAAAGCGATACTATCGAATAAATTGTTGTACTTCTATACTTTAAAAATAAATTTTATCAATGCTATTTGTTTGTCTGTTATATTTGTTATAGTATTCATCATACTGAATCGAATTGTTTTCTCTTGATTTTTGGCTTATATCAAAGGCAATCCGAGCAGAAAAGGCCAAACGGGCCATACGAAAAGGCCAAACAGGATCAAGCGGACCATCCGAGCCTTTGTTAAAGAAACCATGTTTAATGTTGGTAAACCTCGTGTACAGCGCTCCCCGCAAACGTAGTGTAAAGTGAGCTGAATCACGCGCACATCATGTTCGTCTCGCGTACGAACTTAACTCAACGCTTAACCTTTGCGTGCGACCTTTCCGTGCGACGCCACACTGCGCGAGGGCATAAACGGGCAGGAAATTTAAAACACATTTATTTATCGCCAAAAGCTTGAAGTCCGTCTCAAGAAATCAAGAGTCGCTTCATGATCCTTCCCAAAGTTTTTAAAATGTTCCGCTGCGTGTTCAAAAGAGAGATAAAGAGGGTAACACGAAATCGCACTGATTTTAAGAAGAAAATACTATTGCCAAAGCTACCACGTTCAGGTTCACTGCGTGTATCAATTAACACATGGATTAACACAATAAAGCTAAAATTATTCGTATTGCTTCCCCAGTAATTGCAAATTCCTTGGCAAAAATTTTTAATAGGGCAATCACCAGTGAATCCGTTCCATCTGAATGGAAAGCAGCGAGAGTTACACCTTTACATAAAAAAGGCCCTCGAAACCTGTTAAATAATTATCGCCCTATATCCATTCTTCCTGTTGTAAGTAAAGTTTTCGAAAAAGTATTATACGAACAGTTACACGATTATCTTGTTACAAATAACTTACTATCCCAACATCAATTCGGTTTTAGACGTAGTCACTCAACAGCATCCGCCCTTTTAGATAGCACAAATGAATGGTTTGTTAATATGGATCGTGGCTTTTTTAATATTGCAGTCTTTCTCGACTTGCAAAAGGCATTCGACACTATTAACCACGTTGTATTATTGAAAAAACTTGATTTTTATGGTTTAGAAACACCAGCTTTAAACCTCCTAAAATCGTATCTAGAAAACAGAACTCAAATGTGCTCTGTTAATGGCACACTTTCTCGTAAAAAATTAATTACATGTGGAGTCCCTCAAGGCTCAATTCTTGGGCCGCTCCTATTTTTGGTTTATATTAATGATTTGCCAAACAGTTTGGAGTATTCGTCAACAAGAATGTTTGCCGATGATACGACATTAACTGCATCTGGTAAATCAGTTGCTGATGTAGAAATGGCCATTAATTATGATCTTGCTAACGTAAAGCGGTGGCTATCTGCAAACAAACTATCCCTAAATCTTGTTAAAACTGAATACCTACTAATTGGATCTCGGCATAACGTCAACAATCTAGCCCTTGTTCCAAATGTGTTCGTTGGCGATGTACGAATTAAAAGAGTGAGAGAAACAAAAGCACTTGGAGTATGTATTGATGAATTTTTGTCATGAAATAAGCATATTGACAAAATTGCTAAGAAGGTTTCATCCGGAATTGGAGCGATCAGAAGACTCAAACCCTGTGTGGACCATAATACATTAATATGTGCTTATAACGCACTTATATTGCCCCACTTCGACTACTGCTGCGAACTTTGGGATACTATTGGTATCACACTCTCTGATCGCCTCCAAAAATTACAAAATAGGGCTGCTAGAGTAATTACGGGTCGTAAAAACGAACACGGCCAATCTGAACTTGCTTTAAATGAACTAAACTGGAAAACATTGAAAGAACGCAGAACTCAATTTGTAGCAAGTCTCATGTACAAAATAACCCACGATCTAGCGCCCAAACAACTAATTGATATGTTTCAAAAGACGCCTTCGTCTCAACATTATAACTTACGAGGTTATGCCACAAATCTCTATCTGCCCAAACCTAAGACCGAATATCTTAAAAAAGGTCTTAGTTATAGAGGAGCAAAATTGTGGAATGGCCTCCCAGATAGACTAAGAAATAAATGTTCTCTTAGTCAATTTAACTTGGGTGTGCGGCACCTGGCCAGTTAGATAATGAGTTTATGAAATTTTATTTATTTGACCATAGTAGAGTAATTAAAAAAGGTCTTAGTTATAGAGGAGCAAAATTGTGGAATGGCCTCCCAGATAGACTAAGAAATAAATGTTCTCTTAGTCAATTTAACTTGGGTGTGCGGCACCTGGCCAGTTAGATAATGAGTTTATGAATTATATAATTGTATAATTGTATTGTAATGTGTTAGTCTTGTATATATATTTATCCTAATTGAGTGTAACGTTTGTATTTTTAAACCTACGCCCCTCTTGGAAATCAGCTCTTGCTGTAGGGGTTAGCGTAGACAAATAAAGTTTTTACTTACTTACTTACTATAAAGCGTACGCACGCGTACGTTTCTGTTCGTGCAAAACAGTACGCACGGGTCTTGTTCGTACAAAATTGTTCGTAAGAGGAGATTCATCGTATTAAATATGCGGAATATTGGAAGAATAAACTTTCAAATGAACAATCTCACAAAGACAAATTAGTTAAGTTGGCCGCTTTCTTATTGGAACATTTAATATTATGTGTAACTTGAGTAAAATAAAACAAACTGTCCTTTGCTGAACACGTCATACAGCTAAGTACGAACGCTTGGACGTACACTAAGTACGAACGCTTGGACGTACTCCCCTGTTGACGTCATAAATACATTCGCTTGAATTACTTCCGGTGGTGGATGGGGGGGGGGGGGTAACCTACTATTACCAAAACCGTGGATTAAATGTGAAACCATGGATTGTAAAATAACTGGACAGGAAACTTCCTGACGTCACAGTCTAAACCTAGTTGCAATTTGTGACGTCACGTGCATTGCCAAAGTTCTCGGCATTTTTGTTGTTTCGCTATATTTTCCGCTTTAAAAGAGTAATATTGAAGCATAAACTGGTCTAATTGTTTTAAAAACATGCCTAAGCCACGACAAAGTATTCAAGGTAGATGTTTTTCGTCTTTGTTTTGTATTTTTTTTACATTTGTAGCTACGAAATTGGCGTCGCCAATTTTAACTAAATTTGCGATGCATTTTTCACTGTTTAGTGCTTGAAATATTTGCTAAAATTGACCGGGAATACTTAGAGATTTCATCGTAGAATGGCCTAGTTATATTTATTTGCTCTTTGACTAAAACGTTTAGCTGTATTATCGCTAAACATGCCGTTTTTGAGAATTTGGTTTGCAACTAGGTTTCAACGCCATCATCCCATTGAAAACATTAGGTCACGTCAGCTAGTCATTTTATTATCCATGGTGAAATTTCTCGCGGATCAATCAGACGTCACCATTCCCACGGTCACCAATCAGCCGCTCTCACGACGTTAGGAACGTGATATTTCTGAATGTTTCGACGCGAAAACATCGGACGTTTTTTCGAGCGAGGGGAAGGATCAGCAGTTTTGATATTATTATTCTGAAAAAAGCGTATGAGGATTTTTGAGATTTCAAAATCCCTTACACACTTCCGGAAAGTACGTTACCTTGGCTATTGAGCCTCGTTTTCGTGGCCTTTACCTAATGTCAGATACACGAAACCGAGGGTCTATAGCCAAAGTGACGTATACTTTCTGGAAGGGTGTATTTTAATGTTGAATTGTATTCTATTGGATCCAAGTGAATCCCATTTACGAACACAATATGGAATGTAAGTATGTACTGTAACTATTTTTCAATCGTTCAGTCGTACATTTACAGCAGTTTCACGTGACACTCAACCACCTCATGCAAGATTGTTGAGAGCAATTAGCCATTTCCCAATCGAGCAGAGGACTGGGCCTAGTCGCTTGTTTGGAGGGACAAAAAATAAACAATATGCCGAATATGGCATCTAGGAAGTTTTCCGACATTCCTAAAGTTATTTGTGCAGCCTGAAACGCAGCAATTATAATAAGGCATCTTTTAATATATATTTGGCTCGCTAACTATAACTTGTTGTCCCTCCAAACATCAACTAGACCCAGTCCTCTGCTCGATTAGGAAATGGCTAATAGTTGTTTTTGACATTTAGGCGCGGTCACCATTTCAATATCGGAAACGTCAACACCTGAACAAAGCCCGGTTACTGTATATGTAGAATTATAATAAGTCGTTAAAAATACATATTTATTCGATTTGTCAAATAATTGCTAAATAATTGCTAGAATATTGTCTTAGATTGAGAAATAAAATTCATTTACCTCTACTACAAGGTGTACTTATCTTTATGTGTTAGTTTGGATGTGATTCGAACACGTTTTCGTTTATAACTCCAGGTATAAGACACAGAGCGTCTCAAAGTGTACAGGTAAAGGTAAATGAGGACAATATTATAGCAATTACTTGGCGAGTCGAATAAATATATATATTTTTAGCCGAAATGTGAGTCTGTTTGAAATGTCAAAAACAACTATTGCTATCAACCTTTTTGCGTGAGGTTTTCGCGTATCAGGTAAAACTTCTGCGGTTGACACTTAACACATATAAAACATTTTCCGTGTTGATATACAGTTATATCAACACGAGTGGAATTGGGAAAACGAGAAATTTTATGGAAACACGACGCCCGAAGGGCGGAGTGTTTTCATACAATTTCGAGTTTTCCAAACTTCCACGAGTGTTGATATAACTATATATCAATACGGAAAAAATGTTTTATATTTTTTTTATAATATAGCAATGTCAAAAGCCCGAAGGATAAGAAAAATTTCCGTGTTTGCAAGCGGCGGAAAATTTCCCGTGTTGACATTGAGTTATATCAACACGGCTCTTAGCTAATCAGCGTTCAGAATTTACAAATGCTATATTATAAATAGAAATAATAAATATAGAACGTGTACTCCTATCTTTCTTCAGTAAAAATTTTGTCTCCACAAAATATTTTATGGCGGATTTATAAGGGCATTTTGACTCATCCAAAACTCCTGCGCCTGCGGCAAGGAATTTCGCGCGAGAGCGAATTGTTGTTTTCAACAAAGCTTGCAAAGAAAATTTCATATGATGATTTAGTCTTAAAATGGAAAAAAAGTTTTGTAAAAGAGATAAACTTTTGAAAACCCATTCCAGCGGGTTTTTTACGAAAAGCAATCGTTCTGAACAGAATATATACAGAAATCGTCGTTTAAAAAGACATTTTTCGACGATTATTTAGGCGATTTACAGTTCATCTACAACTATATATTTTTTGAATTTACGAATCTACGACCTTTGGAATACTAGCCCAATGCTCTGCCAACTGAGCTACGCGGTCAGTCTAGTTCCTTCGATATCAATGCAATCTAGTAATCGTGATTTTTTTTTTTAAATAAAAAAAAATAAAAAAAGTAAATTCACGATTACTAGATTGCATTAATATCGAAGGAACTAGACTCAGTTCCGAAATATCACATACTCGTACCAACCTGACCGCGTAGCTCAGTTGGCAGAGCATTGCGCTAGTATTCAAAAGGTCGTAGGTTCGACTCCCACCGTCATGGCCAGGCATATTTTTCAAGCTTGTGGATATACACTCAGAGTAACATCATAAACATCATATATACTTTTTGTTTTAAAAACATGAAAACACTTCATTTAGTTTGAAGTAAAACCAAACCCGACGAAGAATGAACTGCCATTTTGTAATTTCATAAGATATTAGCAAAACAGTGACGCTCACAGCATTCAAACATGTTTAATGAGTAAATTATATTTACGCGAAACTATACTTTCTTTTTACAAGGCTGAACGATTTTCACCGTTTTTGTAACTGCACAATCGATGCAGCACTTATACATTTGCTTTGTGCCTTCAAAGAACTTAATGTTTCAAAATCCTCAAACTACAAATTAGACAGCAAGACAAAACATTTCGGCGGTGAAAACTAAGTTTTAGCTTTGTAGTTTGCACTCCTAGCCAAATTCAACCGGCATGGCGGATTTACAAGGGCACGAATGAGAAAATGTGGAGACATGATTCGCGATTAAGTACGCTTTTAATATCTATTATTTCTATGGGTTGACACCATACAGATTATAAAAAAATAGAGTGGGCATTGCAGGCATAGTTCAGGCAAACGAAAGCAACAAATTAAAGCTTGCTAATGCATGAAGGCAAATTTGATTTATACCAGGATGTAAAACGAAGATTTTTTATTTTTCTCCTTTTGTCTACAAGTATTCAATTCTGGTTTTATCAAAAGTCCTGACCGTTTTACATTTATTTATGGCAAAAATTGAGGAATTTCCGTTTTATATCGTGGAAAACGATGAACATTTGGACGTGCCGAAGTTATGAAAGAAATACTGGTCTTCAACATAAAAAGCACTTTAAAACATATTGTATTAAAGTCCAAATATTCTTGTTGATTTCGAGCTTTTAGTCCTTGCTTAAAGTGCCTATATCAGGGTCAGGGAAATGACTTTTCCTGATAGTTTAGACGATTTTAAGAACATTTGCAATATATTTGACTAGACGAAAATTTGATCTTCATGGACTTTTTGGGCCTCAAAGTTGGTGATTTTTCGAATTACCGCGAGCTTGAAAGTACTGGTAACTAATCGCCGTTAACCGCCGGAAGTGATGTAAGAATGAGAACACGCTAATCTTGCAAAGTATCATCATAATAAAACAGCATAGAATTTTAGTCCAAAATATCGTCCGATTTTTTCCGTTTAATAACATTTTGGGTTAACTTTTCGTTAAAACAATGTCGTCAAGTTTTTCCGACAATACGGACAGCCAACTTGATTCGGATATGAATTTTTTACCAACTTATATAATGGAAATCGAAGATGATGCAGTTCAGCCTCCCACAGCTCAACACAAAGCGATGAAGACCAGTGGCCAGGCTTACAACCTTACCAAGACGAACCGATTGCTGATCCAGCTTGGATAACTCAATACGACGAAGAGACGTGCCGAAGAAGAGAGACGACAGCTGCTTATGTCTCGCTTGAACGGAACCATCCCCGTATTAAATTGGTAGGTGAAATGTATACGATATGTGAGCTCAGACTCAGAGACAGAGCTCGTGTTTACATTCTGTGTAGACGCTACGGCGTACGCAGGCTAGTGTTGGCACTCATGTAAAAATATTTTCCTTTTTCGTTTGACAAATCACAATGAATATTATATGGTGTTTCTTTTTATTTCAGGTATACATGCGAACTATGTAAAGTCGATTTACTGGTAAATGAGAGAGAGGCTCAATGCTGCCAAGAAATCGAAGGCTGCTTAGAAGCGTTAGGGACAGAACTTGTTTTACAAGAAGGAGGTGCTGAGCCAAATTGCATAACGCTTCATCCAGGCGGCTTTGGTTCGGTCTGTTTATCACCCTGGTCATTGCGTCCGGCAGGGCGTAAATTTCGAAAACGTAGAAGGTGATGAAAACAGGCAAGACACATATATATAATAATATATATATTTATTAAACAATCTAATATAGCCATTTTTAACCCTGATAAATCCCCACAATTTGTTATCAATCAGAAAATTTCATTTATATAAAACTATTACAAATATTACATGAAAAGTTTCTTATATTATAGGTGTTTCCGAAGTGTTGCCTATAGAGAGTATATACTATATACTATTGGTTTATGGATACTTGGGAAAGAGAAGAATACCTTTACCAGCATGTGCTTATCATGCCATAAGACAAGCTTTTGGTGGAAAAGACTTCAAAGGTTTTGAGGATGACGAAGAGTTGGAATGATATCATCACAATAATATTATGCATCCAAAAGTGCCTACCCCCAGGGCTTCTGACATTTTAAATAAATCTTGTTAACCCATTAATCGCCAGCACTCTCCCCTTGACGAGTAAAATCGTCTTGCATTAGAAAGAGTAAAATAATAAAGTAGGGTGCATCAGGGCACAATGCGACTCAATGGGTTAAATAGACACATGGACAGATAGGCCAGTTACCCATTAAGCACCAGCGCTCTCCCCTTGATGAGTAAAATCGTCTGCCGTTAGACAGAGTAAAATAATAAAGTGGAGTGCATCAGGGTGCAATGCGACTCAATGGGTTAATTCCTAGATTGGTAAAAAAGTGGAAAGTTCCCCGAAGTGGGACTGATGTCCGAGGCATATCCCCCATTTGCAAACACTTGAAGTGAGATCAATACAAAAACTGATTTCGATTAATTTTATGAGGCCAGAAAATAATACCAGGGTTCCTTGTGTTTAGAGCTCACTGGTTTGTGATATGATGTATAAAATTCATAATAAAATAAAAAATTCAAAACCGACCTACTCTTCCTAGGTTTTTGTAACATATGATAGGAAACCATGGTATTTCTTGGCCTAATTGATTTCAAATGCCTCACCACTGGGTTGAGGTTAGTTTTCAAATGACCCACCCCTGGGAAACAACATAAAATGAGCAAGTTCCTGGAGGGGGGGGGGGTGCACTCTGGATTTGAATATTGCATAAAAAATTAATACATCTGTATAATTTAATCAGCTAGTATGTAGTTAACAACATAAAATGAGCAAGTTCCTGTGGGGGGGGGGGGGGCACTCTGGATTTGAATATTGCATAAAAAATTAATACATCTGTATAATTTAATCAGCTAGTATGTAGTTTGCAAATTAGTGTAATGTCAATTTTTTTTGTAATTATTTTTTATTACGAGGACAATCCAAAGTGCCAGGCATCAATGATTGACTTTTCCAGACTTTATTTCCCCCTGGACATATTTTGTTGTTGCACGTCATCTCAACTTGAACCATTGTGCCAAACTCTTTCATTTCTACCAGCACATCAGGCTTCTTGCATGTTGCACAAACTTTGAATAGTTTCAACGATTGCGAGAGCAAGACAACAAACTTCAGTTCCATCATGAGGTTTTCATTATTAGGAAAAATGCTATAAGAATAAAGTTAAGAATATTATTCATTTAATTAAATAAACACAACACTTTGTACAGTATATATTGCTCAAAAACATTTTAAAAGTACTTTTTAATGATTGCATTCACTATTTGCACACTTTTACCATATGTCACATTTTCAATCGCAGTAGCTCTTATTTCAGCTTTGTGCAATTTTTACAAGCAACTTCAATAAAATAATATTAAGTAAATACAATAGTTTACAACTACCAACCTGGTCAATTGCTTGGACAAATGTATCCTCTGTACCACTAGGCCCAGGCCATGTTGAGGGTTCATCTTGATCAGTCAATGTTGAAGTAGATGGTTCACCTTTGTCAGTATAAACTTCAGCCATTGTTGAGGTTTCACCTTGTTCAGTCAAGGTGGAGGGTTCACCTTCCTCTTTTAGCAATGTACTTGACCACTTAACATTTATTACCTGTTAGGTATGAATGCATATAATTTTAATGAATATATATGGCACGATTTATTATGCATTCTTATATAACATATTCACATTGAACGAAATTAAGGACTGACGACTGGCAATAGTAAAAACATAATTACTAAATGCATTACTTACAGAATATCGGCGATCTCTTGCGGATAAAGGTTTCATTTCATCGCCACTCATGGATACACGCAGATACCAAAGTTGTCTGTCTTTAGTAGCTGTTTCAATTTTGGTTTCTCAGTCGTCAAACCAACAGCGAATGGTCTCACAAAATCTTCGGCCATAAAATGTCTTGAGCATATCTTCGATGAAGCTGTTGGTTCGAAGTTCAGTCTCTTTCGTTTCACAAAGCCAACCTATCGTTTCCTTCGCTTTATTGCCTCTGGCCGATCGTCATTCGCATAGACGCATACGGAATATTGTGCAGCGATATTCCTTCATTTTGGCTAGCAATGTTGGAGCATCCATATGCTACACACCTATGTGGCATCTCTGAACCATGGACGTTCAGCGAAATAAACAAAAAACCGATAAAATATTCTTTTCTCGTGTTTTTAAAAAGGATAAAGTGTTCAATGTTGCTGTTTTACTATAAATGTCCTGTTGTTCTGAAAGCGTGTCTTCTCATTCCTACGTCACTTCCGCCTCACAACACAACTAGTTACCACTAATTGTATCTCACGGTCAAACACAAAAATTTGCCAAAATCCGCAACTTTGAGGCCCAAAAAGTCCATGAAGATCAAATTTTCGTCTTGTCAAATATATTGCAAATGCTCTTAAAATTGTCTAAACTATCAGGAAAAATCATTTCCCTGACCCTGATATAGGCACTTTAAACTCTAAAACCTTAAACTCTAAGCGCGCAAAGCGTAATGGGAGCACTATTTAAGCAGTTTAGAAAGCATACATGGGGCCCATTTCTTAGAGACATGGTAAATATGTGCCTGCGAAAACATTTCACTCACAAACAGCTGCAATATTCAACTAGAAAGCTTGAAATCAGTACTCCCATTATGCTTTGCGCGCTTAGAGTTTAAGGTTTAAGGTTTAGAGTTTAAGATTTGCAAAGGACAACCTTTTTTCAATTAGCTGTATATATATATATATATATATATATATATATATATATATATATATATCAACTAGAAAGCTTGAAATCAGTACTCCCATTATGCTTTGCGCGCTTAGAGTTTAAGGTTTAAGGTTTAGAGTTTAAGATTTGCAAAGGACAACCTTTTTTCAATTAGCTGTATATATATATATATATATATATATATATATATATATATAGTATATATTTGACTGTTGCTTCGACCGTTTTCTAAAAACAATATCCCTCTCTCCTGATCTAACACCACGCCTTCTACACTTCCGTTCAAATACTTCCGCTTTAAGGGAGCGGTCATAAAGTAAGTGCTACCCCGGGGCGGAGGATATTGGAATGGGGTATGAAATTTTTTTCAGGGATCTGGATGGGTATGAAATAAATTTATCACTTTAAAGAGGGGGTATGAAACAAAATTTGTTTGTTTCAATACAAAATTTGTGTTAATACAGTTTAATATTTCGGCTCCGTTCATGGTCCAAATAATTTTTCATACATCACTGCCATCACTGTCTCATAAAAGATTTGACCGTTGCTCATGTAGTCAGCCTTGCAGTTGCTCTTTGTGTTCTGATTTTATTCCTCTTCATGAGCTTGTGTGGAGGAGTACATGATGACACAAATATTATTCACAGAATGGCTATAAGAGAGACTATTGTACCGTATATTTAATACATAGTGTAATCATTTTTAACCCTATTTGTACCAGGGGTGCGCACAATGAGCGCACGCAAATAAATATTTATCCGTCATTCCTGAACAAATGAATCCATTTGATTTTCTGAAAATTCAAAGTTATCCGGACGTTTGACGACATTTGTCAAACAAGGTGTCTGGGCCAAAAATGGGAAAATGTGGGTTGGACAGTATTTTTTGGTATATTAGTACAGTATATTAATTAGAGAACATATAAAGATGGTTTATTACACATGATATGCAAAGTAAAATATCCATAATATATTAATATATAAAATAGTGAAATATAGTATATTAAATATCAGAGATTAAATATGTAATATAGTATATCATAAAATACTTATATAATATAAAATACTTATTTATAATATTTTTATATATACAAATACACATATTTCTTTGTACTTTTAAGGTTGAGCAGACACCAAAGATTTAGGAACCATAACATATTGCAGAATATGAAACCAATTTAATTTAGTATAAATATTTATAAATATTGTGTTTTTAAAACTATACTGCAGGCTCGTAGCCCACCTGTGTTACACTTCATGTAACATATAGTATAGTGCTAATATTGGCCTGGTTATAAACATGGTCGCCATTTCATATTTTTCTACAAACTTTTCTTGATCGACTTCATTCAGTTCATTGTTTCTTCGGTTTATACTGAAGAAGTTATGCCACCAAAAAGAGCTAGAGTTTCAGCAGAATGCGCAAATGCAAATATTATGGGATTTATGGAATATAAATATGACAACAATGACAGTGTCACAGTGATGATGGTGAAATCACTCAATCAGTGATGTTGAAAATGATTTGGATTGTTTATATGGGGAGACAGGTCAGTTTCAGTTGTATGTCTTTTCATATGGTACAGAAATGCCAGCTTGTAAAGAAAAATGGTGGTGTTTATGGACATCTGAGGTATGCCGTAACATAAAAGTATGTCTTTTGAATGTAAAAGAACTAAAAATATCGCATCCAAAATGTTGTTTTTTTATCTCTTTACATAAAATAACCAAAATGGGTAAAATATTATCAATATTCGCCATTTTTTGACAGGCGGCCGTATTCAATTGGGCCAAAAAATAGCATTTTGGATTTGAATTGATATTTTTAAGTTAAAGAAAGATAAAACTTACTAAAAATAAAACTTATAGGATAATGGGAATTACTCAACGGAATTTTTTAGCCCAATCAGCACACCCCAGGTCATATCAACATGAATAAACCCCGGTAAGCTTATCGTTTTATGATGGGGGTATGAAACATTGAGACCGTTATCTTGATGGGGTACCAAATATTATCCGACAAGTTTGTGGGGGTATGAAATTTTTTTCACAAAATTAAAAATATCCTCCGCTCCGGGGTAGCACTTACTTTATGACCGCTCCCTAACAAAAAATGGGCGTGTAAGATATTCCGAGAGTGACAATATGCTAGGGCAAATAAGGATGCGAAGTTAGCAGCAACGGGATTTCTAGTCGATGTGGAGCAGGTTCAAAGCTTGGAGACGTCTATGGAAACCATGACCTGTTGATCGTTAAATTTTTGGTTAACTAAGTTCGTCGAAGAGGTATGTAAAGCAAGTTGAGAGCGTTACCCGCCTCGAACGCTGTACAGTATGTGCTGGATTACAACGCCACTTGGAAGACGTTAATGGGCCGGGGTGATGCAATACAACTTTTAAGCAAGAACGAAATGTGGTATTGTGTAGTATTTTGTTGTAGAGTTTTGCGGTAATTGCACACCACATTGCCACTTTTCGCACATAATAGGCTAAGTAATTTTTAACTGCTTTAGACTACACACGTTTCGACGGGCATTAGACTCTGAAATGAAACAGGCTAGTGCTGATGGTCTAACAAATATGACGAAGAAACCTGATAAAGAAGGGATAACAGAAGAAGAGGAAAATACTTTTTGGGATAAATTAAAAGTCTTCTCGGTTCTCAGACAGCTAAGTCACTACTTCTACAATTTACTTTTATAACGGAAAGTTGTTTGGCATTCGAAGTAACGAGCATAGGAATTTACGATATATCAACTTCTTTTAATTGTATAATATATGATGAGAGTGTATCTAAAACTGATCATGGTGGCCTTAACGATCTCAAGTACAAGCAGCGTGTTGTGAAACATGTTTGTTGTAAAGAAAACTGCGAGTTAGGATATTCTCGATGCCTTGTAGAGTGCTATAAAAAGTATCTGGAGCATATAAAAACGTTGTCCGACGAAATAGATGCGTTCTATTTCAAGCCCAGCTTGGATGATACAGTGTTTCGTTATCACAGGTCTCCTGTTGGCATTAACACTCTGAATAAAATTTTACCAGATAAACTTTGTGGCGCGGCCGGTTTAAAGAAGAAAACCTCGCACAGTCTAAGAGTCACTTGCGCGACACGATTATTTCAAAATTGTGTGCAAGAAACATTAATTAGAGAGCGTACTGGTCATCGTTCTGATGCTTTGATTCGGTACGAAAAGAAAAGCGAAGAGCACGAGAAGTCTGTAAGCTCGATTTTAGGGACTCCTGCATGACATTGTATAGACAAAGAGAAATGCCCTGATTTGGATGTAGATTTAAGTAGCAAGCTTCCTCTTGTTGATTTCGATTTTGATGTTTCAGACGACATATTAAGCAATCTTGAGATGCCCGCAAATGAAACGTTATCAAATGTTTCCACCAACTTATCTAACTGCGTGTTCAATAATTGTACATTTACTTTGGGTAAATAGTGGATTTTTGTAAAAATAGTTGAGTGACTGATATTGCATTAAAAATGGCGTTGTTGTGTGAATATAGTATAAAATTGTGGTTATGTAAACTTATTAATTAAAATATAACAACCAGCATAATTCTAATTTTTTATGAAAAATCTTTATATAAAAATCTTTATATAACAATCTTTATATAAAAATCTTTATATAGTTTGCATAACAATCGTCTTTTGTATTATTGCATAATAACGTGTTCTTTAGCTGGTATAAAGACGTATGCACGAGACTAATTTCTTACTCAATATTGGATAATTGCTTCATGAATAATTAATGAATTTTTGAATGTGATCTAAAGGAGAACTGTTATTTTGTGTATTAGTGTCAATATTAATTACATTGTTTTTCTCGCCTGACCACTATCATTTCTTTAGAAACATGCCAAGGGCGTTGCAGCTGGTACTGTGGAAAATAATTTGAACAACTTCTCTATAAAGACAAGGAATAAAATTTTGTTGCGAAAAGTTTCGTTATTAAAAAAAACACGATAACAATAAAGAAAGTCCATAATTCGATTACCTCAAAATATCATAGTTGCTGAGAAACGTCACGCGACCATTTGGAAAAAACCCTGAATTGAGTCAGTACTCAATAATGGGCCAATCAGATTCAAAACATGCAGAAAAACACGTAGATCAACACCAAGAAGCGAAATCATGCATTCCCTTAGGAGATGATTGTATATTGAACAATCAGTTTCAAACGGCTATTCAATACTTTCAGAAAGCCGTGAAAATTGCACAAGAACGTGGAGATAAAGAAGACGAAACAAATGCGTATATTGGGTTAGGAAGTGCTTATAGATCGAACAATCAATTTCAAACGGCTATTCAATACTTTCAGAAAGCCTTGGAAATTGCACAAGAACGTGGACATAAAGGAAGCGAAACAATTGCGTACATTGAGTTAGGAGAAGCTTATAGATTCAACAATCAGCTTCAAACGGCTATTCAATCCTATGAAAAAGCCTTGGATATTGCACAAGAACGTGGTGATAAAGAAGACGAAACAAATGTGTATATTGGGTTGGGACGTGCTTATACATTGAACAATCAGTTTCAAAAGGCTATTCAATACTTTCAAAAAACCTTGGAAATGGCACAAGAACGTGGAGATAAAGAAGGCGAAACAAATGCGTATATTGGGTTAGGAGAAGCTTGTAGATTGAACAATCAGTTCCAAACGGCTATTCAATACTTTCAGAAAGCCTTGGAAATTGCACAAGAACGTGGACATAATGGAAGCGAAACAATTGCGTACATTGATTTAGGAATGCTTATAGATTCAACAATCAGCTTCAAGCGGCTATTCAATACTTTCAGAAAGCCTTGGAAATTGCACAAGAGCGTGGAGATAAACAAAACGAAACAAATGCGTACATTGGGTTAGGACGTGCTTATAGATTGAACAATCAGTTTGAAACGACTATTCAATACTTTCAAAAAGCCTTGGAAATTGCACAAGAATGTGGAGATAAACAAAACGAAACAAATGTGTACATTGGGTTAGGACGTTCTTTTAGATTTAACAATCAGTTTCAAACCGCTTTTCAATACTTTCAGAAAGCCTTGGAAATTGCACAAGAACGTGGAGATAAAGGATACAAAACAATTGCGTACATTGGGTTAGGAGATGCTTATAGATTCAACAATCAGCTTCAAACGGCTATTCAATCCTATGATAGATTTAACAATCAGTTTCAAACCGCTTTTCAATACTTTCAGAAAGCCTTGGAAATTGCACAAGAACGTGGAGATAAAGGATACAAAACAATTGCGTACATTGGGTTAGGAGATGCTTATAGATTCAACAATCAGCTTCAAACGGCTATTCAATCCTATGAAAAAGCCTCGGAAATTGCACAAGAACGTGGTGATAAAGAAGGCGAAACAAATGCGTATATTGAGCAAGGACGTGCTTATCGATTGTATACAATCAGTTTCAAACGGCTATTCAATACTTTGAGAAAGCCTTGGAAATTGCACAAGAACGTGGAGATAAACAAAACGAAACAAATGCGTACATTGGGTTAGGAGATGCTTATAGATTCGACAATCAGCTTCAAACGGCTATTCAATCCTATGAAAAAGCCTTGGAAATTGCACAAGAACGTGGAGATAAACAAAACGAAACAAATGCGTACATTGGATTAGGAGATGCTTATAGATTCAACAATCAGCTTGAGACTGCTATTCAATACATCCAAAAAGCCTTGGAAATTGCACAAGAACGTGGAGATAAACAAAACGAAACAAATGCGTATGTTGGGTTAGGACGTGCTTATAGATTGAACAATCAATTTCAAACCGCGATTCAATACTTTCAGAAAGCCTTGGAAATTGCACAAGAACGTGGAGATAAACAAAACGAACCCAATGTTTACATTGGCTTAGGAGATGCTTATAGATTGAACAATCAGTTTCAAATGGCTATTCAAGGTGGTCATTCCCCTTCAAAACGTGAATTTTGAAAAAGAAATCAAATTTTTATTATTTATATGTTTAGGTACTTTAAGTACTATACTTTAAGGTGGCTCCATACACTTTTCATCATCGGGGGACTGGTACCTAACTTTGAGTTTTCGCGCGAAAATATTACAAATATATGCAATAATAAATACAACTTTTTCAGTCTTATTAAAAATCCGAATCACAAGTCATGTTTATTTTGATGTTTTGAGTCTTTTTTGTTCTCATTTGTTCTCAAAGAACAAACTTCGTCCTGATTTAGCCCTGAACATTGAATAGCTAGTCTTTTTAGAAGATATTTTAAGGTAAAAAATGCAATGTTTAAAGTTCAAACTCTTGTGAAAACCGGCGATCGGCCCGACCGGCGAAACGTTTTTTACTCCAATATTTGGCGATTTATAAGTTCATATCCGGAGTTTTTTGTACTTACAACTGGTAAATGTACTCAAAGTGTCACTAACAGCAAAGGAATCCAGTCAAACAGCATCATACGCCGGCTCAAACTGTTTTAAATTGTCAACAACAACATGAAAACACACAAGTTACGACTGAAAACGAATATAACTATGTATACAGAAGCCAAAAAGTTCATACATGCCACACATATCTTATACCAAACGACACAATCACCTGTTTCATGGCGGTATCCCGAGTTAGCATGCAAAACTAAATATATTTGCAGTCTAAGCAAGAAAACACAACGTATATTTGATATTTCGACGAGACTAAAAACTTTTTGTGCGTGTTTTTCAGGAGATGCGCCTGCGAAAACATGTACGCGCATGTCAATTCATTGATCTTGCAGAGCTCGAAAAACTTTCGGCCGAGCGAGTGAGATACCACAATAAAACGGCGTAATTCAAAATTTTGCACGGTGACATGTGATGAAATTTTGCACAACGATAATTTCTTTTAAAACAAATAGAATATCAAAATTTTAAAAAAATCTGTAGATTGGAAAACTTTAAATCCGCAATTTTTTATTCTGGCTATTCTAATCTACAGAATTTTTTTATTTTCAGGGATAAGATTCCTTATTATAAGTGAAAGCTACACAGCAGTTAAAAATTGGGGGTCACCGGCAATATTCGGAAAATAAAGAATAAAAACCTGCCTAAAATAGCAAAAAATACCATATTTGGCGAGGCTACTGTTACTATGGAAACAATATTATGTTCAAGAATATTGCAAATTTTTTCTACCAAATACTTAATTTATACTCGGCAATGCTTAAAATTAATATATGGAGTGATAAAATTTATAAATTGAAATTTTTACGCAATAAGGCATTTATACTACGGAACTGTATGGAGCCACCTTAAGATAACATGGTTTGTTTGCCTGAAAAAATGCTTATTTATGAGGAAATCAGGTTTCAAGAGACCATACTTTAAACTTTTTCCCATAGCAACGCCATAGCAACGTGTTTTCCTTCCAAATTTGCTTGATTATTGCACTTAGAAACAAGTTTTTTTCTATTCAACTTTTGATGTATGTTATTTAAAGCCATGCTTGTAAATCTCCTTGTGATTGGTTCATTTTCGTCGCCATAGCAACGCGCTGATTTTCCAAATCGTGCTCGATTTGTTTATAGCAAGCTGTGTGAAAATTGTCTCTGAAAATTGCTGGGTTTTTTACGTTAATAAGTTGAAAAGTTGGTGTTAAATTGTAGAATTACATCCCTTCTTTTGTTTTGATTGTATTTCTGAGTGAATAAATGGGGAATTTGAAAAACAGAGCGAGAAAAAAACGAAAGATTCCACCATCAAGGAAACGAAATATAATCCAAGATGGCGGACCAAGCTATAAAGATCCTGGACCTACTGGGAGAAAAATTAGCCAGAATACTGAGTTAATTCGTGGTTTGTCGAAAAGCATTGATAGTACCCTGAAAGAAGGAACTATTTTCATGGATTTATCCATATTATTTAATGTACTTGACCAAGTTTTGAAATGCCCTGATTGTGGATGTGATACAGATTCACATGTTGACATGAGAAAGAAATGTGGATATTCCAATTACATTGTGCTACAGTGTACGAATATGGAGTGTGATTGGAAGTATTCTTTTAACACTTCAAAGAAACAAGGTCGTTCTTATGAAGTGAACGTAAAAACTGTCCTGGCTTTCAGGGAAATTGGCAAAGGTCATAATGCTATGACTACCTTCAATAAGGTCATGAATATGCCTGCCCCACCAACCCGCCGTGTCTTCACAAAGATTCAAAATGAAAAGGTTTTGCCAGTTGTGAAGAAGTTGGCTACTGATAGCATGGTCAACAATGCTTATGAAGTCAGAGATGAGAGGGCAAATGATGATGGAGAATGTGGAATATCGATCGACGGTACTTGGCAGAAGAGAGGATATTCGTCGCACAATGGGGTCGTTACTGTGATCTCCTTGGACACAAAGAAATGTCTCGATGTGGAAGTGTTGTCAGACAAGTGCCAACAATGCCAAAAGTGGGAAAAGAAGAAAAATGACCAAAGGTACAATGCATGGAAAGCATCCCACAAGTGCAAGGTCAACCATCAAGGAAGTGCTGGCAGCATGGAGACAACTGGTGCTGTTCGGATTTTTGAACGGTCTCTAGCTACAAGAGGGCTGAAATATATGGATATGCTTGGAGATGGTGATTCCTCAACCTATAACACCATTGTCGAAAGCCAGCCATATGGAGAGGATTTCATTCCAAACAAATTAGAATGCATTGGCCATGTTCAAAAGCGGGTTGGAAGTCGTCTCCGCAAACTTAAAAGTTCCAACAAAGGATTGAAATTGGCTGATGGTAAAGGTTTAGCTGGTAAAAGTAGGCTGACTGACAGTAAAATAGATGTTTTACAAAACTATTATGGCTTGGCAGTTAGAGAAAACCTTGATGATGTTGGTACAATGGCGAAGTCCATAGAAGCATCTCTTTACCATGTTGCGTCAACTGCTGAGAATCCACAGCATCATCTCTGTCCAGACGGAAAGGACAGCTGGTGTGGATATAAGACAGACAAGGAGGGATATAAACATAAAAATGGAATCCCAAGCTGTATTGTTGACTTGATCAAACCTATTTATAAGGATCTTAGTAAGACTGAACTCTTGAATAAATGTACTCACGGATTGACACAGAATGTGAACGAATGCTTGAACAGGCTTATCTGGGACAGATGTCCCAAGTCTACTTATGTTGAGCAAGAAACTGTGGCTCTTGCCACCTACTTAGCCATTTTAAAGTTTAATGATGGTGACATTTCCTTTTTAAAGTTATTTAATGACCTGGATATAACCCCAGGTATCTTTACTGGTAAAGCCACTGAAGATTGCGACAATTCGAGAATAAAACTGTCGGCAAAGAAGAGCACTGAAACAGTGAAAAAGAGAAGAAAAGTACTGAGACACCTAAGAAAGAACTATGTTGACAGTATTGAAGAGAAAGAAGGTGTTACCTATGAAGCAGGTGCCTTCTAGACACTATAAAAAAAGAACGAAACGTTAAAATACTACTTTCTCAATTTGGCAGTTTTGTCATTCCAATTGATCTTTGTGACAGCATATCTTTCTGAATATTAAGTGTAAAAGGTTGAAACTTGGTATGTTTGTGGCTATTAACATTATGAAGAGAATCACCATTTTTATATTAAATATATTTAATTAGTAATGTATAAATGAGGTTTAATTACCTAATTAGGTATGAAAAAATTCCTTTTTTCTCTAATGTGCAGATTGTTTACCAAATTTCAGATAAAAATGTTTTAAAGTGAAAATAAAGATGGTCAAGGGCTAGATCATGTTATAAGCTTTCCAAATATATGTCATTTATGTTATTCTGATTAATTGTGTCTGCAGTGTCATGTTACATGCGACGCCATTTTTTGACTAATTAGTGGGCGGCCATATTGGATAATTAGTGTAGTTAATGAGTAACCAAAATTTTTTTTTCAGATTTTGATTTTTATCACTGTACCCCTACAAAAAATGTCTTTGCTGACTCTGTACCTTGTAAAATGAAAAAAAAGCTCTAAAGGTGAATGAGCACCTCAGAAAGCCTTGGAAATTGCACAAGAACGTGGATACAAAAAACAGGAAACGAATGCGCACATTGGGTTAGGACGTGTTTATAGATTAAACAATCAGTTTCATATCGCTATTCAATATTTTCAGAAAGCCTTGGAAATTGCACAAGAACGTGGAGACAAAGAAGACGAAACAAATGCATATATTGGGTTAGGAGATGTTTATAGATTAAACAATCAGTTTGAAACCGCTATTCAATACTTTCAGAAAGCCTTGGAAATTGCACAAGAACGTGGATACAAAAAGCAGGAAACAAATGCGTACATTGAGTTAGGACGTGTTTATAGATTAAACAATCAGTTTCAAATCGCTATTCAATATTTTCAGAAAGCCTTGCAAATTGCACAAGAACGTGGAGACAAAGAAGACGAAACAAATGCATATATTGAGTTAGCAGATGCTTATAGATTAAACAATCAGTTTGAAACCGCTATTCAATACCTTCAGAAAGCCTTGGAAATTGCACAAGAAGGTGGATACAAAAAGCAGGAAACAAATGCGTACATTGAGTTAGGAGGTGCTTATCGATTAAACAATCAGTTTCAAACCGCTATACAATATTTTCAGAAAGCCTTTCATGAAATTGAACAAGAACGTCGAGACAAAGAAGACGAAACAAATGCGTACATTGGGTTAGGACGAGGTTATAGATTAAACAATCACTTTCAAACGGCTAAGCAATACTTTCTGCTGAAAGCCTTGGAATTTGCACAAGAACGTGGAGATAAAGAAGACGAAACAAATGCGTACATTGAATTAGGACATGCTTATAGTTTGAACAATCAGCTTCAAACGGCTATTCAATCCTATAAAATAGCCTTGGAAATTGCGCAAGAAAATGGAGACAAACAAAACGAAATAAATGCGTACATTGGGTTAAGAGATGCTTATAGTTTGAACAGTCAGCTTCAATCGGCTATTCAATACTTTCAGAAAGCCTTGGAACTTGCTCAACAATGTGGATACAAAAAAAAAGAAACATATGCGTACGTTGGGTTAGGGCAAGCCTATAGAGTAAAGAATCAGTTTCAAACCGCCATTCAACATTTTCAGAAAGCCATGGAAATTGCACAAGAACGTGGAGACAAACAAAACGAAACAAACGCGTACATTGAGTTAGGAGATTCTTATAGTTTGAACAATCAGCTTCAAGCGGCTATTCAATCCTATGAAAAAGGCTTCGAAATTGCACAAGAACGTGGAGATAAACAACAGCAAACAGATGCGTACATTGAGTTAGGACGTGCGTATAGATTAAACAATCAGTTTCAAACAGCTAATCAATACTTTCAGAAATCCTTGGAGATTGCGCAAGAATGTGGAGATAAAGAAGGCGAGACAAATACTTACGTTGGATTAGGACATGCTTATAGATTGAACAATCAGTTTCAAACGGCTATTCAATACTTCCAAAAAGCCTTGGAAATTGCACAAGAACGTGGAGATAAAGAAGACGAAACAAAAGCGTATATTGGGTTAGGAGATGCTTACAGATTGAACAATCAGTTCCAAACAGCTTCTCAGTGCTTTCAAAAAGTCTTCGATATTGCGCTAGAACGTGGAGATAAAGAACAGGAAACAGATGCGTACATTGAGCTAGCACATGCTTATGCACATAGCATTCCGCTTCAAGCGGCAATTGTATTCCATGATATTGAATATTTAGAAAAAGCCTTGAACATTGCACGAAAACTAGAGGCTAATATGCGAGAAACTCAAGCATGCCTTGGGTTAGGGAAATTATATAGATTAAAGAAAGAGTTTGAAATGGCAATTGAGTACTATACGAACGCCATGCAAATTTCAAATGAAAAAGGATTTAAAGAGGAAGAATGTATTGCAGCAAATGGAATTGAAGAAACAGTTAACGGTGAGTTTATTGTTGTTCAAATAAAAGGTAATTTTATTCTAGTTTTCGTTCTAAGTTGGTTTCAACAAATTAAAAATAACTGAAATTGTCTACGATAAAAGCAAATTTAAATTATAAACGAGATTTAAAGGCAACGACCGCTCGAATTTCGTTATCAATTTTTTCTTTTCGGCCGTGCAGACGAACAATAATCCTTGTTCAAAAGCGGATGCATTAGTATTGTTTTTCAACAAGGCGCCTTTTTGCTGTACACCCGAACAATCAAGACTTGTAAAAAAAAAGTGCTAGTCTTTACGGCACTTAGTAAAGCTCTAAATATAGTTCAAAACATAAAACATTACTTTTTGCAATTGAATGTGAGATATTTTAAGAACTGTAAATTTATAACCTTTTGATAATCTTGAAATATATTCTTAATATTCAGACGATGCTCAACTGCAGCTGACTGAACATAAAACTGGTAGTAATGTTGACTTCGCGGATATCGAAAACGAAACCTTTAGAAAAGGAACAAGTATTTCAGCAGAACAATTTTTGATCTTGGGGTATATTCACCAAAATGAAGGTAAAAATGAGCAAGCCATCAAAAGCTATGAACAAGCAATTCAAATCGCAGATAAACGCAACGACGTCAAAGCACGAGCTTATCAATACTTGGGAAACGTATTTAGTGGAACTGCCGAGTATAAGACAGCGATTGAGTATTATTAGAAAGCACGTGAAGTATCTCCAGACCTCGAGACAGATGAGTTGGAATTAGAAGCATATCTTCGGTTAGGTAACAACCACCTGCAAACTGGGCACTACAAAGAATCTATTGAGTATTACAACGAAGCGATAAAACGTAGCTCACAGCTAGGAAACAAAAAGAGTAAAATTAATGCTTACCTTGGATTAGGAAATTCATTTAGTTATAATTGTGACTTTGAGTCTTCGCGAAAGTATTTTTTAAAAGCCCTCACGGTAGCCCAACAGATCAATGACGAAGGTTTTCAAAAAGAAGCGTACACAAACTTGGGATATGTATACAAGAAGACTTGTAAGTTTGATGCAGCTGCCAAATCGTATCTCAAAGTTCAAAAAATTTCTCATGATCTTGGGGAGAAAGAAGAAGAAGCCAACGCCTGCGTCATGCTTGGTGACATCTTTCATGAATTGAAACAACATGAGAAAGCAATTGAATTTTTTCATAAAGCGATAAATGTTAGTGAAGATTTGGAAGATTCAGAAACAAAAACAAAGGCATTTCAGGGATTAGGAACATTGTATTTAACTTTGGGATCAGTTTTTAGTAAAGATTGTGATTACGAAGTGGCAATTGACTGGTACGAAAAGGCATTGGCTCTTTTTGGAACAGAGTTTAGATATCATCTCTTGCGAGAGAAGACTCTAACCGGTTTGGCAGTTGCATGGTTCAATCTTGGCGATACTGAAAAATCGATTGATTTGATTCAAGATGCTCAGAAGATGGTAAAAATTAAGAAAGAAACTGATACAGGTAACTATTTCACATAGATTAGTATTGGTACTAGAAATACATGCATGCAATAACCCCTCGCCTGTTTTCAAAAGATATATACTCAGTGCCGTTGCGAGCACTTCGTCGCAGGGTGTGTGTGTGGTTAGATAGAGGGGGGGGGTTACCAAAAAGTTTCCAGATGTACAAAAAATTTTCAGGACATATAATAATTTTTCCGAAAATACACTTGTTTTCCAAATTCACTTTCTCAGTCATGTCCTGAGAATTACCTGAATTCCCCTGAAAATCTTCTGCAAATCTACTTAAATGTACGTACTAAAAGTGCACTGGAAATCTACCTGAAATTCATCATGAGCAATAATCAGGGGTGTTGCACCTCCCCCCCCCCCAGTGAGTTCCAAGCAAACACTCTCTGATTTATTGTTCGTGTATTTCGATCACCTCCCAAAATATTGTGCATCATACTATAGAGCATTTTGCTGTTGTCATGCTCTAGCATGGTTCAAATTTATGAATTTTTATTATATAAAGTATAGTATTTTACAGAGTTTTCGAGCACTGACAAAAATGATAATCTCAGATGTGAAATTATTCATGATAATCTCACATGTAAAAATTTATCGCCTTTTCAATTCTCGCTTTTCTGTAAACATTATCGCTTTTCATTTAAGACTGTCCTTTATATAATAAACAGAAAAATACATGGGTGGTTGGAAATACCAGATTTATTTTTTGTGTTGAACATGATATCTCACTCGTTCGCTGCGCTCACTTGTTCGCTGCGCTCACTTGTTCGCTGCGCTCACTTGTTCGCTGCACACTCATGTTCAACACTCGAAATAAATCTGGTATTTCGTGCACCCATTTATTATTCTCTATTTAAACTACAGCTAGACTGGTTTAAATTATTATCAATTTATCAGTGATTGTAAAAGTTGGAGATAGAAGTGTTTTGTTTTATAAAATTATCAAGTTGTCGGTGATCGCAAAACCTCCAAATCCTTAATTTCAAATGTTAGAATGTTAGGGTTTGTAATATATACATTTTAAGTGAGAATATATACATTTTAAGACCTAACCAGGAACGACTGCGAAAAATGCAGCACAAGGTCCTCTGGTAGGAATTGAACATACGGCCCTGCGATTCCGGTGCAGCGTTCTAACCAACTGAGCTACAGAGGCCAGCTGTTGAGCTTTAACCGTAAGTTCATGTATATTTAAGTAATCGGGTGTGTGGGTTATGATAAGGTGGACTTCAATAATTTGGATTCTTGCACTTCACTTGGTGGACTTAATATTAGAATGTTAGGGTTTGTAATCCAAGTGAGAATATAAACATTTTCAGACCTAACCAGGAACGACTGCGAAAAATGCAGCACAAGGTCCTCTGGTAGGAATTGAACCTACTGCCCTGCGATTCCGGTGCAGCGCTCTAACCAACTGAGCTACAGAGGTCAGCTGTTGAGCTTTAACCGTAAGTTCATGTATATTAAATTTTAAGTAATCGGGTGTGCGGGTTATGATAAGGTGGACTTCAATAATTTGGATTCTTGCACTTCACTTGGTGGACTTAATATTAGAATGTTAGGGTTTGTAATCCAAGTGAGAATATATACATTTTAAGACCTAACCAGGATAGACTGCGAAAAATGCAGCACACGGTCCTCTGGTAGGAATTGAACCTACGGCCCTGCGATTCCGGTGCAGCACTCTAACCAACTGAGCTACAGCTCGGCCAGCTGTTGAGCTTTAACCATAAGTTCATGTATATTTACTAATAGGTAATCGGGTGTGCGGGTTATGATAAGGTGGACTTCAATAATTTGGATTCTTGCACTTCACTTGTTGGGATTAATATTTGAATGTTAGGGTTTGTAATCCAAGTGAGAATATATACATTTTAAGACCTAACAAGGAATGACTGCGAAAAATGCAGCACAAGGTCCTCTGGTAGGAATTGAACCTACGGCCCTGCGATTCCGGTGCAGCGCTCTAACCAACTGAGCTACAGCTCGGCCAGCTGTTGAGCTTTAACCATAAGTTCATGTATATTTAGGTAATCGGGCACGTGCGGGTTGTGATAAGGTGGGCTTCAATAATTTGGATTCTTGCACTTCACTTGGTGGAATTAAAATTAGAATGTTAGGGTTTGTAATCCAAGTGAGAATATATACATTTGCATATTCTCACTTGGATTACAAACTATTCTCATTTGGATTACAAAATATATACACCAAATATATACATGTACTATACCGGTACATTTGTAGGGCTTCAATAATTTGGATTCTTGCACTTCACTTGGTGGAATTAAAATTAGAATGTTAGGGTTTGTAATCCAAGTGAGAATATATACATTGGCATATTCTCACTTGGATTACAAACTATTCTCATTTGGATTACAAAATATATACACCAAAGTATATATTCTCACTTGGATTACAAACCCTAACATTCTAATATTAATTCCACAAGTGAAGTGCAAGAATCCAAATTATTAATTTCAAATGCCCCGCCGGGGCTAAGGTTCGAGTGGAAATACCCAACCCCCGGGATGTGCTTTACAGGAAAATGGCTGGGCGAGGGGGATGGGCACACTTGGATTTGGCTGATGCATTAAAAGTCATGGAAAAAGGAAAAAACTTTTCATATTGCTACTATAAAATGGCTCATTGTGCTTATTCCTGTGCTTATTCCAGACTGCTTGTCAAATATTTACTTGCT